AAGTGCCCCTCTCCCTCCCCCGCCCCCCTCCCCAGAGGCCAGCTGGCCAGCTGCTGTGGCTAATTTCGCCACCTCGTGGAGGCAAGTGTCCTGGGCATGGATGGAAACCAGTTGCGCTCTGTCAGAACTGTTAAAAACAGGAAATTTTAAGCAGAACTATTTCCTCTGGGCCTAGTTAACTCAAATAAGGTTGTCTTGGGATTACTCCAGATTTTGAAGTCAGTGTTGCCACTGAGATCAAAGAAATTAAAGAGGAAAAAACTTCCTTCATAGGCCAGAAATCACAGGGCTGGCCTCTGCTGTCTGGAGGAGGTGGTCACCTATCTGGTGTGACTTACATGGTGCTGAGAGCCTCTCCTCACCCACCCCCAAATAGGTCACCCCCTGCCAACACAGGCTGATTCCCCCAGCTCTGGGGTCACTCGCAGGGCCTTGAATCAAGGTGGTGATTCTCAATATGTGGTCCGAGGGCCAGCACCTCCGACGTCACCTGGGAGCTTCCTAGGGAAGCAGATTCTCAGCCCCGACTGGAGGCCTCCTGGGTCAGAACCCTGGGGACGGGGCTCATCGAGGGCCACCGAACCCGGGGACAGAGCCTATCGAGGGCCGCTTCGTGCGGTAGGACTGTGCAGGCTCCACACTTAGAAAGGTGCTGGGCCTGGTTTAATTTTTCAACAAGAGGTCCCACATTTTTACTTTGCACTGAGCCCTCCAAATTACATAGCAGTCCTGAGCCCAGAAATCCTTGTTTTAGGAAGCCCTGAAGGTGATTCAGGTACATGCTCTATCTAATTGGAAAGCATGGAGTTCAGTCGTTGTCTTCCTGAAGCCTCTGTTCCCGTGTAGACCTTAACTGAGAGCCTAACATTGTCAGGGGCACCGCCTTCACCTGGCCTCCAGTTCATTGACATCAGGTTTAGCTGACTAGTTAGTTGGCAGTCACCAAGTGAGCAGGGATCAAGTGTGGGTATGTGTGCGGTATAAGGCCATTCCCAGATGGTCTCCCTTCCTATCAGCTAGCTTCCTGCACCAGAGTGTGGAGAGGAAAGAATTTCCCTCCTTTTGTTCCATGATTTCAGCAAAACAGAGGGGAAGCCACCAGGATACTACTCTGTAGGGCCCACTCTTGACTCTAAAGGCTGGCCTGTCCCCAGATGGGCCTGTTCTAGTCCTCTGTAGAAATAGCAGCATCTGTGACTCGGGCACATTCGCTGACCCTGTGTGCTCATCCCAGGCCCCCTGTTTGGGCATGTAGCAGACACTTAGATGGTTGGCCATGTGCATTTCCAGAAAAGCCCCACTCCATGCTTGTGCGCCATCCCTGGCAGACATCCGGCTATGCCAGTCACATCTGTGTCAACACCACATTCATGCAAGCCATTCAACCCCCCTTTCTTTCCAGTTTGCTCTGAAAATGAGTCCGAAGCTGAGGCTGACCAGCAGATGGACAACCTGTACCTAAAGGCCTTGGAGGGTTTCATTGCCGTGGTGACCCAGGATGGCGACATGATCTTTCTGTCGGAAAACATCAGCAAGTTCATGGGACTCACACAGGTGACCACCCGCCTCTGGCTCTTTCACAAAGGGGAAATGTTTCTATTTGGGGGTAGAAATTAGTGGAAGGTTCTGATCACATCCCTCCTGACCTGTCTCTGCACATACCCCCCCCCCTCTGGTCCCCAACCACAGCCTCAGAACCACACTTTCATCCCCTGGCCTTGGGTTTGGCATTGCTGAAGGCCATCCTGGTGGACAGCTCTGCTGACCAGGCTAACAGGCCAGCTCTCGTGAATCGTCTCTAACATCAAGGGCAGTCCTGTTACATCCGCCTGTCTGTAGACTTCACACCAAGCTGGGAATCTGAGAAGATCAGATTTGGTCTCTTTCCTATGTCCAAATCTAGAAGGTGGCTCAGCCTCCTCTTGGACCCTTCTGTTTCAGTGTTAGGAATACTAAAGTCCAGCCTTGTTTTTGAAACAGGTGGAGCTAACGGGACACAGCATCTTTGACTTCACTCATCCCTGTGACCATGAGGAGATCCGTGAGAACCTGAGTATCAAAGATGGTAAGGTATTCTTTATTGTGTCTCCTTCCTTCTTGTGCCACCGGGAGGGGATCTGTATTCCCTTTGTTTAGGAGTATAGGAGACATGGATCATGAGTATCATGGTCCAGAAAAAACTGACATGCAACACACTCCAGAAGAGCCTGTGAGAGATCGAGGGCACATAAAGGACCTGATATTCAGAAGCCTCCAAGGCAGCCAGACTCTTACATGGCAGCCCAGGGCTCCCCAAAGTGCAGAAGTGGAAGCTGCCAGAGTGATGCTAAAGTGGGCACAGCATCACTCTTCCCAGTTCTGTTGGTTAGAGCAAGTTACAGTCCAGCCCTGAGTCATAGTGGGAGGGGACTACACAGGCCGAGAATATCAGGAGGCTGGCTCATTGGGGCCACCTTTGGAGACTAGCTACCCTGGAGCCAAAGACTAAATCTGGTCCCCTGTGGAGAGATAGGACAGGTAGATTTTGATGGAGAAGAAATTTAAAAGGTTTAGTGTATTACAGTCTCCCTGTGGGGCACCCAGTAGGTGCTGGTGGGTGGGAGAGCCCATGCAAGCAGAAAGCACTTTGCAATGGCAGTTGGAATTGCTGCTTCATCTCTTATAAATGGGGACATTCAAGCAAAGATATGAATGGGGATATTATCAAGACGGAGGCTTTGGGCAGAAGAGGAGGTCAGTGACTTTCAAGGTCCCGTCTGAACTTGACATCGATCATGGCCCTGGGCAGATTCTGCCCATGTCTAAACATCGCCTTTAACATCTCTCACCTGTCACTGCCATGATGTGTGCTTGTCCAACCTGAATAACAGGGGAGTGATACTAAGCCTGCAGGGTTTGGCTGCTGTTACTGTACACTCTGCAAAAGCAGACATTTTATTGGCCCACTTCCACCCTTGTTATAGACTGAGCTTACAGCCTGGGCCTGCAAAATGCAGAATCCCAACCTCCCCCACACCCCACCCACCCGCTGACCTCTCATAAGCCCCATCCTCTCCACCTGAAGACCTTGGACCACCGAGCTCCTAGAGCACACAGCCTGGAGAGCACTCCATGGGTTGTTCCATGTCTTATCCGCACTGTGAGAACTTCTTTTCTGGTTCTATGGGGAAGGGGCTACCAGACTCTGAATCCCTTCCTAAAGCAGGTGTTTGAAGCCTGAGAAAACCAAAGACTCTTTTATATTCTCTGCTCCAGAAACCCATTGGTCCTTGGGTTCTCAGTCTCTAGTCTCTGTCTGACCATGTGACCTGAACCAAGTCCCTTCATTACTCGGTTCCTTGGAATCTTTCTTTTCAAATTGGCAGTATTGAACCAGGCAAAGTCTAGGACCTTCCAGCTCTCCAGTGCCATGATTCACAGCATGATCCTAGTCTATTTATCTAAGTAAACTTTAGGTCTCTTGGTCCACGTATCCAGGACTTGGTATCAAACTCAGTAAATCAGCAAGCAGCTCCTTATTGAAGGTGCCGGCCTGAGTGGACTCATAACCTGGAAGCAAAGGATTAGTCTGAGCACCAAGAGGAAGATAAGACCAGGAGGCAGATTGTGAAAAACTTTGAAGGCCAGGTGGAGGGCCTCGAACTTTATCCTGTAGACAGCGGGGAGCTATTGAAGGTTTTTGAGCAGGGGTGGAGTAATCTGATTGGAGCTGTGTTTAGAAAGATTAATCAAATGGTAGAATGGCAAGAATCCAGAGGCTAACAAGTTAGGAGGCCACGGGAATAATAATCCAACCTACAGACACACCCATCTCCAGCACTTGAGCTGGTTTTGGTCGTGGGCCAGGCCCCAAGATATAAGAACATCTCCTGATATGCCAACCCCACCTATGAAAATTAAAATTGTAGGAAACATCATTAAGTATGGAAGGCATGGTTTTATTATCACTATGGAGGAATATTCTTTCTTTAAAAAAAATCCACCAATTTGGTCCATTACTTAGTAGGCTCTCCTGGGAATGTATAAGATAGAATCAAAGGTGACACAGTTCACTGGACACACAGATCTTTGGGGACATGACAATCATCACAGCCCTCAGGAGGTTTAGGTGCAGAGGCTGGTGGCTGTGCCTGGAGGGAGGAGTGCGAGTATTTGAAACAAGGCTCTGAAATGTTCTCGGATGCTGGGCAGGGGGCAGGGGTGCACCTTGGGGACCCAGGATCGGGATGGTGTGTAAGGCAGAATTTAGACATGGACAAAGGGACTCAGATGACACTTTCTGCATTTATCACTTTGTTTTACAGAAAGTGGAGAAAGTTCTGAATGGGCAGGCTATTTGGAAACTATAAGGAAGGAAGCTATATTGTTTGTCTTGGTGATTTATTTAATTCTGGCTGAGAAAGGATATCCATGTTGAGTTAATTCTCAGAGTGGACTTGCTCACCAAATCCCAGGAGATTTCTACCAGAGGTCTCTCTTGAGCTTCACATAAGTCAGTTAAGGGGGAAAGCCGATGGCACATTATCCTGAATGCAGCCATGGTTGGTGGAAAATAGGGCAGAGGAAGGTACACATTCCTGTGTGACAGGAATGAGGAAAAGATGGGAGTTTGTGAGGGACATTTCTAATCTGAGAGGCATATCCCCTTGGAGTCATTGTGGTCTCACCTAGACTATCCCTTGGAATTCCTCCTAGGGAGGCTGCACCGGCCCCAGCAGAGTTTTGCTGAGATTGTGGCCAATAGTCACTCATTGCCTTGCTGCTCTGAAGGGAGCACCTCCCACGTGCTAGGTGCAATGGCAAGAAAACAGTGTAACACCCCTAGTCTTTAGGTGCTTGTACTCCAGTTGGGGGGCAAGCTGGAGATGAGAAGGCTTTAGTCCATAGGCCAAGATGGTCCTCAGCATTCATGGCAAGCTACAGGTGCTAAAAGAGCAGAGACTTGGGAGATACAAACAATACATTGAACAGACAACACTGCAACTGGGTCCCTCTTCTGTATATAAATGAAAAGCTCAATGGTTCTGTCCACCCTTCCTCACCCAGGCTCTGGTTTTGGGAAGAAAAGCAAAGACATGTCCACAGAGCGGGACTTCTTCATGAGGATGAAGTGCACTGTCACCAACAGAGGCCGCACCGTCAACCTCAAGTCCGCCACCTGGAAGGTAGGGCAACACCAGGCACGGGCTGAGCCCCAGATGCACCCCGCCCCATGCTCTCAGCCCCACATTGACCCTCCCCGGCTGGTCTCCAGGTCTTGCACTGCACCGGCCAGGTGAAGGTCTACAACAACTGCCCCCCTCATGGGGGTCTCTGCGGCTACAAGGAGCCCCTGCTCTCCTGCCTCATCATCATGTGTGAGCCCATCCAGCACCCGTCGCACATGGACATCCCCCTGGACAGCAAGACCTTCCTGAGCCGCCACAGCATGGACATGAAGTTCACCTACTGCGACGACAAGTAGGGCCCAGGAGCATGTGTGCTGCGGGCAGAGAGTGTCTTACGTGTGTGTGTGTGTGTGTGTGTGTGTGTGTGTGTGTGTGTGTGTGTTGTGCCAGTGATAAAGGCATGGGTCTAGGGCATAACAGTGATAAAGGCATGGGTCTAGGGCATAACTGTTGTATTGTTGGGTGCCAGCTTGTGGGCCTGGGTCACCGTTCCACGTTCCACTCCATCCATGCAGCTAAGGGATGCCTAACACCATATTCGCTGCTCCCCGTTGATTAGCGCCAGGGTCTGACCGCAGAGCTGTTCTGGTGTGCGGCTCTGTTGTCATTGTTGATCACTGTGATGCGTACATCCCTCCGCATGTGTATGTGTCAGGTTCCTGAGGACATTTCCAGGTCAGTCTGCTTCCTCGGGAGATGATGGCAAAAGGTCTCCATCAGTACCCCCAATTCAGATGCCAGCTGGGAGCCCGGGCTCTGACCAGGAGACTGCCCCACGCCCGCATGTTCTGCACGTATTCTCTTCCATTACTGAGTTCTTCCTTCAGTCTTTGCTCCTTCTGTGTCACCTCTGCTCTGGCCACTGTCCAGCCTAGTTTTGAAGGCTTTTCGATAAAGAGACCTAAACCAGACTCTAATCCCCCAAACCAGGCCCAGCTGGAAATTCTCTCACCCACAGGACATCCGGGGGTATCTAGCTTTCTTGATGGGCAGGGCCTGACTTTCCAGGCCAGGCTGTTTCTTTCCCCTGATTCTAGACTAACCTGATGTTGGCTGGCACACCTTCTTAGAATTGGCCAACCCTCTGGGACGATTTAAAAATGTTTGTAACAGCATGCTTGAGTCATTCCTGTCCCCTGGTTCTGACCATCATGGTGCCAGGACTCATGGCTCTTGGAGGTGGTGGGAATTATATAATTAGAAAGAAGCACTCTCACCTCAGAGGGAGAAAATGCCATGTATGAAGATTTTTTCCCTGGTGCTGACACCGTCAGCATTAATTATAGTTGTTAGCACTGTTACTATTGTAACGATGATGGTGATTAGAGGGAAAGACTGCTCCAAAGGCAGGCACCGAGAAATCCACGTGTGTGTAAGGTTATTTAGCAGATGTAGTCTTTGTATGCACATGAACGTTCTTGGCAGGAGACAGTTTTGTAACATGCACCCCTCTGTGTAGTCTTCTGAGATGACGAGGGACATCCCACTGCAGAGCCCACTCTGGCTTCAGATGAGCTGGTGCCCCTGAGGAGCAGCTGTAGCACCGTGGACAGTGACAGCGGCATGCAGCCCTGTGAGGGGGCAGCACGTCCCCACTGTCGCCCACAAGCACCGGGAAAACCCTGCTGTCCTAGAAAAGAGCTTGTCATGCCTAGATAATAGAAAAGAGGGATATTTTTTTTTTAGCTTTAGATTTTGATTGTTGTTACAATGAAGGAAAAGAATCCTCTGGAAAGGGTAATTTGAAGTTATTCTTTATTCATTATCTTGTTTTGAATGTGTTTCAGGTCATTTCCTGAAAGCAAGCAACCTTTGGATAAAAGAGGAGCGGGGGACATGAGGAATGGGGGGTGAGAGTGATTGAAGAGGAAAGGGACACAACCCTGGTTAGCTGGGTTCAGGGCTGGCAGGCTGAGGCTGCACTGGCTGGAAGGGATCTGTGGTTTAAGGCTTTGAGACTCAGAGTGTGGAGGCAATACTGCAGGAGAGTTCTGTTGGACACATCGCACTTGAAGCAAAACCTTGCCTTTCACGAAACCTAATGACATGGCCCACACTCTGAATTCAATGGTGCCAGAGAGATGATGCAGAGGTATCTGAAGACCTAGAATGCTGTGCTACACAGAAGTTGTGTTTAACCGATTAGCAGATTAGTTAACAAGGGCACAGACGTGGCTTAGACAATTTATAAAGTGACTATTTTAAGTCCTTAATCCCTAAGTATTATTTCTCGATTGCTTTGATGATGACTGGTATTTTTTAGTTTTGGTAGCTTGTTTTGTTTTCATTGTTTGTATTGGGATGGGGAAAAGCATATTTGTAGTCTCTCTCTCTCTCTTTTTCTCTCTCATATTTTCCTTAATACCCTTCAAAGATCAGTGTTTCAAAAACTAACACTTGCAAATGATAGCTAGTGGGGGGTGACTTCCCATTTTAATCATGGAATGCACTAGTTTAGTGGCATCTCACACACACAAAGGGCTATGATTTCCCACAAAGGGATTTTTTTCCCATAAGGAAAATTAGAAAGAATCTGATAAAAATGCAAGTCAATCCGAATCCACAAAATCACTTTTGAGACCATTTGGTACTTCTTAGATGTATTTAGATCACAGACCTAATCAAACAAACAAACAAAGGGTCTTGAAGAAGAAAAAAAAAAAGAAGGAAGAACAGAGAGGAAAAGGGGAAGGGAAATTAAAAAAAGAGGCAAGAAAATAGGATTCTAATCTTGTGTTTAGCTCTCAAGTTTCCAAAATCAATTTACTCTGAAACATCTGAAATTGAGTGAAGGAATATATGTCAAATGTATTTATGTGTACTATATAGTTGACTGCTCTAGACAGGGAGAGTCAGGTTGAGTCACAAGGTTAAGGAAGAAGAATGTCCCAGTCATCAATATAACTGATGATCTCATCTTCGTTTATATTCCATTTCCTAAAATACTGAGCAACCAATTAATGAACTCTTATTTATTGAGCATCTACTCTGCATCTAACCCTGTGCCAGAGACTTTTATATTAAAGAAGTAAAAGAGATGGTCCCTGACCTCGAAGAGTTTACAGTTTGATACATGAGCAACTTGATGAAACCACAGTGAATAGTACAAACTAGAGCATTCCATTCACCCAGAAGGAAGACAAAAATGTGTTCCCAGGTAGTTTAAATTGGGTTGCTTTTTCAACTCAGGTGGAGGTGCCCTCTAGTGGTGAAAGAAAATAACTGGAAGCCAAGCCATCAAGGAGGGCACAGCAAAATCTGTATTTTACATAATCCCACTGTGATTTTGTCAATTTTATGCGTCTTCCTATACCTTAGAAGTAAATTATAAAAGCAAGTTATGTGGAGAGGATCCATATTACTGTGAATTGAGTGGACAGAAGGTATCAAAAGTACAGTAAAAAATTGAAAGTAATGCCGAAACCGGTTTGGCTCAGTGGATAGAGCATCGGGCTGCGGACTGGGAGGGCCCGGGGTCGATTCCGGTCAAGGGCATGTACCTGGGTTGTGGGCACATCCCCAGTGGGAGATGTGCAGGAGGCAGCTGATCGATGTTTCTCTCTCATCAATGTTTCTAACTTTCTATCTCTTTCCCTTCCTCTCTGTAAAAAATCAATAAAATATATTTAAAAAATTGAAAGTAACGAAGAGGGTCATGTAATCTTTATATGCAGAGTTTGAGGGCAATCCTGTTTTGGTATTGAATTAAGGCAACATAGGCATAATAATATCAGAAGCATAATTTTAAACAGTCAAGATGCCTGCATTTAAAATTCTGTGGCTCAAATTTATGAGTATTTTACATGAAGTGGGCATAGCAAAGATAATAATAGTGAAGATGATGCAGAGAATGTCAATGAAGACAATTAGAAAGAGCCATGAGTTATAAAACAGATACACATCAAAACACCTGGAAGGCAAAAATACTGAAGTCTAGGAAGAAAATAGTTTGCTGATTCAGGCAAATTAATAGTCAAAGATTATATACTTTCATGCATATTGAGAAACATTTAATAAATTGTTTTGTTTTACTTTTTTAAGAGGATGGGTGGCATCTTTAAAGTCAAGGTGATCTTTTCAGATCAATACATTACATGTCATTTTTTTAGTTTAATATATAATGTATTCTAAATATTTTTGCCTTTTCTCTAATTGGCTTTTCTCTACGCATCTTATGCAAGAGGATATAGTGTGTTTCTTTAAATCCCTGAGTTAGAAGAAACTTTAAATGCTCCCCTTGTGCATCTGTGTCTCCTGCAAATGACAGTCTTTTTTTTTTTAATGACAAAGTCTTGAAATCAGCCTAACAGAGTCTGAGCATAGACATATGAGAAGTGCTCAAGTGCGACCTGTCTAATCTAATCTGCTTGAGATACTCCCTGACAGGGGCAGCCCTACAAATTCTCTTTGGAATTTATTTCAAAGTTTACTAGACCTCACAATTCAAAAGCTATTCCTCCTACACGCTCTGGTTCTTTCTTGCTATAATTCAAGGCAAATTTCCTCTAACTGTGTGTGGGCTCCAAGGCAATGCAAGGCAGCCGCGGCATTTGGTGGCGCTCAGAGCAGGGTCAATCCAGGATTGAGCCAGGGCAACCTTCCTAGGAATAAATTAACCTGTCCGGGGACACATCACACGGACAGGATGGAAACTGATCACCCACTGACTACAGCGCTGGCTGTATAGACTTCACCTGATTGTGTCATATTTGAGGAAAGCACAAGGCTAAAAGTACTGTTGTTTAAAACAAACAAAATCTGGATAAAAATATATTAAGCCAGAAGGCATTTGAAATCCGAGTTAGTGAACAGTCTGGATATGAGGAAATGCCATTTCAAAGCTGATGTGCACATATAAAAACCAAAATGGGGCAAATCAAGTCTAGGAGAGACCATTGTCCAAAGGGTGGGGGATGGGGGGAGGGGAGGAAAACAGGCAGAGACTTTAATAGAAGTGTGGTTTATTAGCAAGTACATTCTTTGAAAAACAAATAGGTGGTTCTAAAGAACTTAAAACTTTTATCCTCTTTAATAGTTTCAATACTCTAACCCAGTGGTTCTCAACCTTCTGGCCCTTTAAATACAGTTCCTCATGTTGTGGCCCAACCATAAAAATATTTTCCTTGCTACTTCATAACTGTAATGTTGTTACTGTTGTGAATTGTAATGTAAATATCTGATATGCAGGATGGTCTTAGACGACCCCTGTGAAAGGGTCGTTCGACTGCCAAAGGGGTCACAACCCACAGGTTGAGAACCGCTGCCGGTCTAACCCATCTGGTTTACATGATTACTTTACTTAGCAAATCCTTTACGTGTGTGGGGAACTGGGTTTAAAACTGCAGCCAGACCTCCTTTGACTCCAGGCAGTGGCTCCCGGAGTCGGGCGCTTGCTGCTGTGTCCCACGGGGACGGGCCCCTGGCAGTGTCACTGGGAAAAGCAGCCGCTGCCTCATTCCTAGTGGGTCTCTACTGCCTCTTGAGGCGATGGCACTGACACTGTAGCTGAGAGAATGGTTTTCCTCCACCTCTTGGTCACAGGTAATCCGCGTTGGAAAGAGCCTCTGATCATTTTTAAGGGGAAAGGGCCATTGACGAGCAATGAATCCCTGTCATTTTGCATTGCGAAGGCATGACTATCTGACTCTGAAATCCAGCCCCGGCTGGTTGGAACCTTGTATTTACTTGGGGTAACGTGAACTTGAGAATTCAACAACCGTTCTTTCCTCTCTATTTTGTTTTCTCTTTTTCTTCCTTCTTCCTCTGCCTCCCACGGTTGCCTACATCTGCATCTCCCTCCCAACCTCCCCCCGGATCTGTTTCTTTTTCCATTTTATTATTAGAAGGGGACCTTCTCACTTATGAAATCTGGTAGGTTGATTTTTATATTTCCTTCTTCTCTAAAAACAGAACAGCCCTACTGAGTCGACTTCTCCCTTAGTGAGCCCCAGGGGCTCTTAATTAGAAAGAAAAAAATAGTTTCCCCGCCCCCGGTGGACAGAACAGATGAAACTGTTATCATAGCTCCGGAGGCTTCTCTGGGGGGGAAATTAGCCGGGAAGGCCCTTCTGTGCGTAGTAGCCGACCCTATAAACAAGCCGGGTTCATTACCCTCCCCTTGGCGTCTGCGTGCCTACAGTTGGAGGGGAATGACCATTAGCTTTAAGTTGGGGTTTCCTGGCTTTGTGAATGTTCGTCAATTGTGTTGGGGGTACATGCGTATTTCCCAGTTTTTATAGTCTGTTTAAAGGAATGAAGAAAGAGACATTAAATATTTGTTTTAGCTGACAAGATAAATGAAGGCTGCTACTGGGAAGATAGCTGGCCATTCTGAAATCTAGGTTTGTTTGTCCACTTCCAAAACATGCCCATTGTGTGCCTTTGAATGGATGGTACATTAATTCGATTAAACATATTTTATTATGAGGCAGATCATAACAAACATTCGCTTTGAACATTTTTATTTAAAGATTCTAATCTTGAAAGAAAATTGAATTTCTTCAGGGACTAGAATCAAATCTTTTCCAGAAGAGCCTCATTTTTGAGAGTCTCTCTAAAATTCTAGACCTGTCCAGGAAACGAGGTGGCTTATCTGGCACATCTGTGTCAGTAGGGCCCCCCAGTGCTGATCCCCAGGCTAAGCTTTAGAGAGGCACTGACCGACAAAGAAAAGATATGTGGTTATAGGAAAGGAGGGGCCTGCACTGTTCAACTGTCTCCTCATTCCCCAAGTCTCCACCGCGGCTAAGGTGCCACGTTGGGTGCCAGCCCTGGGGAGAGGGTGATAAGGAACATGCCCATTGCTGATGAGTTCAGAGATTCTCAGAGGGGACAGATCCTCCTGGTGTGTGACCAGCTGGCTGGTGCAAATGAGCCCCTAGCATCTCCCTGCAGAGACTTCCCCTGGGCTGAAGCAGCTAAGACCCAAGCTTCTCAGGCCTGTTCAGCTATCCCTTGTTGGACACAGGCTTTAACCCCCAGTCTCACCTCGGCAGAGAACTTGCCTCTTCTCTGCCCACATCAACACTAGACACACCTTCCAGAAAGGGTGGGTTGAATATCTCGAGGGTTTCTGCTGGTGGGGGGTGAGGGGTGTGTGTGTGTGTGCACGCACGTGCACCAGCCTGCATTGAGGCAGTTCATCTTGTTCTAGGAGGAAAAGTAGAGAGAAATGGTGCCCAGATTCCTTAGCAGTACTGGGACAGGCAGGGCTCTGGTTTAGGTCCTAAGAGAGAATCCACTGGTCAGCTACTCAGGTATATGCCCATGTAGGGGAGGCCAAAGGAGAAAGTGGTCCCTGAGTTCAGGGGTTGACAGCCTAGGTGGGATGTGGAGACACAAATACATAATTCTCTGTGACATTGTGTTTGCCTGTATGGACTTCATGAGGAGACATCGGCGAGGTGTCCATGGAGGTGAGGCCTTGAGCTGGCCCCACAATAGTCAGGAGTTAGAGAAGAGGGGGAAAGAATGCATCAAGGTTCTGCAGCAAGAATGAGTTTACCAGTGTGGGGAGCTGTGAAGAGAGGGGTCCACCAGGGCAAAGGGTACAAGACATGCTGAAGGTTAGTTGAAAATCAAATTGCATGGGAGATGGAAACTAGAAATTAGGCAGAGTTTATTTGCTCTTGATATGGTTGGAAATGGGTTAAGCTGTAGATGCTTAACCAGGGGAGTGGCTGGGTGCAGGTAATATTTTATGATGATTTATTCTGGCAGATGTGTGCAGACCACTTTGGAAGGGAGAGCAGAGACACTGCTCCTGCTTTCCTCTTCATATTATTAATCTCCAACACAGGTGATAAATGATGGAGCCAGACCTAAGAGCCATGCATCTGACACAGAGCTTGGAGTGGTGAGGGTAGCATCACTTCTCATTTGTGATCGGCCAAATTAATGAGACAATGAGCCCATTAGAGAAAATGTGTGAGATAACAAAGGTTATGAAAAAATAATATTTAAGTATGACGTGGGGATGTGGCTAATCTGGTGGTTCTTGGACAGGGCTGGTTTATTTTGATGACTCCACAGAGCTAAGGGTTAAGTGGTTCTTCGTGGTTCTCCATACTTGCCTTTTCTCTGTCTGCTTCCCATCAGAAACAGACACTTTACAGGGGGAAGCGGGGCACAGTTAGGACAGCCAAGCCGGTCTGTGTTAGAGCTGCACGTTCATTGGAGAATGTAATGAGGAGGCACGTTTCTGTAGCTGTGGTTTTATATTTCTTCCTCTCCGTACCTCCTGCCCTTCTTCCATTCCTTGAAATTGGGAGGGACAAGTAGAAGAACCCATGGAAGGCAGGTCCATGTCCAAGAGGAATGTGAGGTCACCGGGCAGGACAGGAGGAGAAGCACCCGGAGGAGTGAAGCTACAAGCACAGCTGGGGTTCTCCCTGCCCCAGGTGCAGCCTCACTCTGCGGTTCACACACGGGCAAAGGTCATCTCCATGCTGTTCCCCACTTGGGGCCACATAGTTTTCACTTTTCATTTACATCCCCCTCTCCTAGAATAAGCTTGACCTAGTAATCGAGGCCCTGGACACGTGTGGACATCGGCCAATTGTCTACTCTCCCTGAATCTCTACTCCCTCATCTGCAAAAACTGGGAGGTGGGGGTGAAAGCATGGTTGTTGGAGACTGGGCATATGTGTATATTAGGGCTGGGGGTAGGAGTCCCCTGAGGAGCTGCCTTTCCTTCCTCCCCAAACATGACTTCAGGAGGGGCAGGAAGAGTGGAGGTTGGGCAGACCACAGCTGCAGGTTGACCACCGTGTGTTTTTTGCATGCATGAATGGTGTGACCAGGAAGCCTGTAGTGTTTTCATCTGAATGTGTGCATTTGACTTACCCTGTGGATTTAGCTCCTTGAGCCCCTGCCCACATTCATATGGTGTCTCTTCCCCACATGCTTTCTTAAAAATTTCAGAATCACAGAACTGATTGGTTACCACCCAGAGGAGCTGCTCGGCCGCTCAGCCTACGAGTTCTACCATGCACTGGACTCAGAGAACATGACCAAAAGTCACCAGAACCGTAAGTTCCTGGAGTTCCCCATGTGGCTCCCTTGCGTCTGTGGAATTTGGCCTTGAGTGGGGTGTGACTGGTGAGGCAGGAGAAGACCCGGTCACCTCCCTTACAGAACCACTGTCTTAAGCAGCAGGAAGATGTACCCTCAGGATGGTTAGATTAGAATTTGTTTTTTACATGCCCTGGACCGGAATTGAACCCTGGGCCCTTCAGTCCTTGCAGCTGTCGCTCTATCCACTGAGCCAAACCAGGCATGGTCAGGATAGTTAGAGAACCAAGGCTACCACCAGCCTATATGACAACTTCATGCAAATTAGACAAAGGACTCTTCCTCCAGGGGGATACACCCCATCAAGCCATGTGGCTTAGAGAGTAGAAGGTGGGCTGAACCTCATTCCCCATCTCTGCTGAGCGCCCTTGCAGGTAAAGTCCACAGTCTGCACAGCCTATGGAACAGCCCGGTAGAGGGTAACTGAGACACAGTCACCTTGGGTTATGTGCTCTAGAAGTAAGTGCACCCATTCAGAGAAGAGGAGGGCTGGGGAAGTGCATAAAGGAGAGGATAGGGCACTAGAGTTGGACGCCTTGAAGGAGAGGGGAGGATGAGACAGAAGGAAGGTAGCAGGGCCTTGACAGAAGTATTGAGGCAGGCCATGGTTCCCTAAGAGCTTGCTTGCTGGATCAAGAGAACTCAGTTGGAGGAGGCTGTCCAGCAACCCAGTGAGGCATATGGAGACTGCTTTGCAGCCAGAAAGAACCCAAGTTAGACCTTTCTGCAGTGGAAATGTTCTACATCCACATAGTCCACAGGCGGCCTATGCAGTACTCGAAATATGTCTAGGGAAACTATGGAGCTGAATTAAATTGAAGTCGCTACACTTGGCTAACGGCCACCATATTGGGCAGGGCAGTTCTAGTGCACTCACCCGGCCATATCCCCAGCTCAGGCTTCCCATTTGCAGGCAATCCAAGATGATTTTCTTGAGTCCATACAGCCCATCAACATGCAAGGACTCCGGGTTTATAACCCTACACTCGGTCACTGAGGAATGATAGCACTGATCCCTGCCCTAAGGGATCTCATTTCTGAGGGAAAAGGAGGGCTGTGGGCTCCAAGGGAACCAGGTGGCTCATTCCTTTAGCCACAGTATCTAGCACAGTGTTAGATACAGTACAAGCACTAAATGAATGATAAACCCAAAGGCATCAAAAATATTTGGAAAAGAATGCTTCAACATAAGTGCAGACAGAGGATTATAGAAGGATTGAAAACGGGTAAGTCTGCGAAGATTCCCCGTGGCTCTGCAGGTCTTGAGCTCCCAGGATTAGCTGTGGCCTGGTGTGGCAAGGAAGAAGAGGGAAGTCCAGCTATTCACCCTCTGTTCCTCAATCCATCCATCCATCCCAAGGTTAGGATAGCGGAAGTTCAGAGTAGCTAGCCCATAAGCGGCATCTGATCACCATAATATTCTCTTACAGAGTGAGGTCTTGTCTTTCTATTTGTGTTTCTCTGCTGCTTCCTCGTGGCTTTTGGGTTTGATCTAACAGTGAACAGGAGCCTTGACGATATCTCAGAGAAGTTTCTCAGAAAACAAACAAACAACCTAGACTCAGCCCCATTAATAGACCAGGGATGGGGGAGGCAGGTGGAGGTACCCTTATATGCCCAGCCCACAGGGGTGGGTGTGACCCAGCCCCAGCTTTGAAATTGCAGCTGTGGTTCCAGCCTGCACGTTAGGGTTCCTCATGCTTTTCTGCTCTGTGACTGTCCCTGACACTGGGACTCAGAGAACTGGGCTCTGGCCCAGCCCCCACAGGCTCCCCAGGGCCAGGCTTCCTGGACCTCCCCTCCTGTAGATGAAAAACTGGGGAAAAAGTCCAGCTTTTCTCATCAGCCAAGGGTGAAGTCAAAGCAAGAACGAACGTAAGTTTCTGGGAATTCTTAGCAGACAGTATTATACTTTATCTTCTGGGTGGGAAAATAGAGGAAAGAAACTATTTCCAAAGTAACAAAAATGATGACTTCTCTCTAGGCATATAAGAAGGATTTTTTTTTTAAATCTTTTTCTTAGAAAAGCTTTGATTCATATAAAAAGAGCTGGGATAAAAGTTTGTCGCATCAGTTTTCCGCTGACTCCAGGGAAAATGTGCTTTTTATTGAATCTGCGTATTTAAGCATTAGGCACACGTAAAGGTAACTCACAGCCCAAATGGAAATCACAGGCTACCTTCTTCCCCTGGTGGAAGCAAGTCAAGCAGCTCTGAGCTCAGAGGCCTGTACCCAGCCAGCAAGCCCAAATCCAGCACAGGGAAATCTGCCTCTGCCTGTCTCTCTCCCTCGCTGGGTTTGTGCAAATATAATCGCACCACAGACACACACACAGGCTGTGAAATAGCTCGAGGCCAGGTTTGAGGCTGGTCCACGTTGACACACCAGCACCCTGAATGTCCGCACCCATATATCTTAGCCTGTGAATGCTCACGTTTGAAATTGCTGGGGAAGCTCAGCCCTCAAACCAGATTCAGATAATTGAAAGCCATCGTTTCCAAATGGATTAGTAATTTATACATTGTTAGTCTCCAAGGGGAGGGGCTGGGGGGTTGGTTTCTCTTTGTTGTGTGAGCACATTATGTGCTCTTAGGAAAACAAGATTAAAGGTCATAAAAAGCCTATCTACCAAGTAGCAGGCCCCGCACGGAGGCTGGCACTAATGAGCAGATGATTAGAAGGCGGGCCTAATTATATTCTACTGACAGAGCAGGCCCTCGCCTGCAATCGCTAGAAATGCAGTTAAAACCTTTGCTCGCTGCACCGTTTCATCAAGAATAAGAGCCCTGAGTTTTGTCTGCCTTAAGAGCCGTCTAAATAAGTTAACTCCAGCCACTTGAAATTGTGCAAGAATCGTTTCACTGCCACAGGGGAGCCTTAGTGGCGCAGATAACGGGAAGTCAGGGGAAGACAGAGTTATTTCTTTTGCTGAAGAGCCCACGACAATTCAGGACAGGAGCTGCCCATATGAGTGACTTTGGGGAGGAGGTGGCTTTTCCTATAGAGCATTTGTCAGTGACATTCAGTCCACATTCTTGCACCTAATAAGCCAAATTTGGCCCTCAGTACAAACAGCTGTGGTAGCTAATAATGATTATCTCATTACTATAATTTTTATCGCATTCCCTTTTGCGGGTGAAGAAACCAAAACCAAGAGAGTGTATTCTTTTCCCCAAGTGCCCAGGCTAGCAAGATCTGCTGGTCCTTCCCCTATGCCTCTTTCCAATTCTTTGCGATTTGGGG